AATAAAACTAAAATATGACCTTATACACTTGCTCCCACTTTATTTCCATATCCTGTGCCTTTGCATTAACTAAACTGAAGAGGTCATCATGGGTAATTCATTAATAACATGAAGTCCACACACACACACACACACACACACACACACACACACACACACACACACACACACACACACACACACACACACACACACACACACACACACACACACACACACACACACACACACACACACACACACACACACACAAACACACACACACACACACACACACACACACACACACACACACACACACACACACACACACACACACACACTAATCCCACATGATTAGGGCTAAAGAACAAGGGAAAGAGAACTGATTTAAAGTGAGGTACTTTACATCATGAGTTGGAAATGAGAAAGATCTAATGCTACCTCTAGATGCCAACATACTGATGTTGATCCATGCTGTTAGCAAAAATAAACCAGAGAGAATCCGATTTCTCAGTAGCAGGTGCGATACATCCAACACCTGGAGATGTGTGTGGCACATACAAAAACAAGAGTCTGCCCATATGAGATCGGATTCATCTTGTAATGGCTGCTAGAGAGAGCAACATCTCAACATGAGCAAACACGGCTGCTCACAGGCCTGCAAGAAATAAAGTGTCTCTCTAAGGGGGTTTGGGGAGAAGCAGCATTGAAATACAGAACAGACCTGCAGGAGAAAGTTTGGCAGGAATACACAATTGGAGAAATGCTTGGGAGTTTTTCAGTGAATCCATGCCTCTCTGCGTGAACAATCCAACAACTGTGCTTGTGAGAATTTGAATGGGCGTGTAAGAGAGAGAAGGAGAAAAGAGAGAGCATTGGTCCATCTCCAGGGTGAGGGACGGTAGGAGAGTGTGAGGGCAATTAGGAGAGTGGTGCAGCACCAACAACCCTCCACCAGCTTTAACTGGAAAATCACCCAATCTTATATCTAAACTAGCATTAGAGTTGAAACGGTGTTAAAAAAATAATAATAAGGTTATCAGTATTATCACAGTCAGTCTAAGGCAAAGGTAATTCAATTTAGTAATTAGTTACAGTAGGCTCTTAAAGGTATCTTTTGTTTTACTTTAAAATATGTGCTTCAAATCTCTTGTTTATGCACAAATAGCTGGATTATATTGGTGTTGCTGTGGCACAGCGTGGAACTAAACCTGATACATCAAACAGAAACAACACAAAACAGAAAAGCCAATGCAAACACACACAATGATGCAACTGGTTGGACGGCGATAAAAAGCAGAGATGTCATTCTTTATGAATTGCACAACATGATGTTGCAGCACCTAAGTTAGCACACATGCCAATTTTCTCTCAAGTGATAGGAGTTAAAAATACTGAAAGCAACAGCAACTTGCAATCCTACCTCTAAGCTGCCTTTGTTTTGTCCTGACTACTGAGCTAGCTTAGGTAAAAGACACAATATGATGCTAACCTAGCTTGCCGAAATACACAGGCAGAACAGAAACCTCTGCTAGAATTTTACCATGGTTTAATGTGAAACCGGTAACTGTTATATCCCAAACTACCGTGACGTCTGTGTGTTTATTTTAGTGTCATTAAATGAAGGAAGGCCTCCTTCCTGTAGTCTTATCAGATTGGCTACAAACAGTGAGAGACATCTCTGGGAGCAATTGCAGAGAAAGCTGTAACAGCCTGGATCTCTAATTTCAGAATGTCAAACAGCTACTGTGTCTTGACAGCAATAGGTGCTCTAGCTCGGCTGAGGCCTGTAACAAGTAACTCCCCATCAAAGGCCAATATGGCGGCAGTTGGAGTAACGACAGGTTTTGGGAATTAATATTATAAACAAAGTGTTTATTAGAACTCCAGAGTGAAATAAAAGTCATATTTTGTGCCTACTGCCAGGCAGAAAACATTGTAACTGTCGGAAAATGTTGCCACAAGTTTCCACTCCCGTGTCAGTCAAGGACAAGAAACGTATAGATCCAGATCCAGATTGGAAGAGGCAAGCATGTGTCAAAGAGAATAAAGTTACGACTGTCAGATATGTCTCAAAAAATTTGAAGGTTGGTTTGTAGTGAATTCACTGCTACTGTTCAATAGATCTTTCATCATATTTATAGACCATGGCTCCGTCAGAGGATCGGACAAAGACTAGAATATCGACCAATTTAACTCTAACTTGACTCAAGAGAAGCCTTTAGCTTATTCATACTATGTACAGTATTAGCTCGTTGTTATGCAGGTTTTTCATTCACTTTCATTTACAAGAGACGACTAAAAGCAGAACATGCAGGTGTTATCTATATACAAAGGCAAGGCAAGTTAATTTATATAACACTTTTCTGTACGCGACAATTCAAAGTGCTTTACAAAACAAATTAAAATACTTTTTAGGAATAAATACAGTAAAAACACATTATATAATGGCATTTTACAACAGGCATTACAAAGTAAAGATAATAAAATAATTAAAATAAACACCACCGGTATACAATACATGTTTAAAAGGCATACTGTAGTTCGAATATGAGCATCTCAATTAAAAGCAGCGGCAAAGAGATATGTTTTTAGTCTCGATTGAAAAATAGTAAGCGATTCCGCAGACGTGCATGATTTGGGTAGTTTGTTGAGTGTCGGGGCATAATAGCTAAATGCTGCCTCTCCATGTTTTGTTGTTACTCTCGGAACCGATAGCAGACCCGTCCCAGAAGACCTGAGGCACCTTGATGGCTCGTAATTATGTAGGAGTTCAACAATGTAATGATTTAAAAACTAGCAATAGTACTTTAAAATCAATTATTTGGCCGACTGGAAGCCAATGTAGAGATTTCAGAACCGGACTGATGTGATCCACTCTTTTAGTGTTAGTGAGGACACGTGCAGCAGCGTTCTGGATCAGCTGCAGTTTTCTGATGGATTCTTTTGTCAGCCCTGTGAATACACTATTGTAGTAGTCGAGTCTACTGAAAATAAAAGCATGGACAAGTCCTGTTGTGACATCAACATCGACATATTCTTCAGGTGATAATAAGCAGACCTAATGACTGTTGTAATGTGGCTGTTGAAATTCAGGTCTGAGTCCATCACTACACCTAGATTTCTGGCTTTATTAGTGGTTTTGTAGTCTACCGACTGAAGCTCTGCGATTACTTTTAATCGGTCCTTCTTTGCTCCAAAAACAATGATCTCAGTTTTTTGTTTGTTCAGTTGAAGAAAGTTCTGAGTCATCCAGTCAGTGATGTGCTCAATGCACTTGCTCAGTGTTCTAATCGGAGAATAGTCTCCTGGTGTGATTTTAAAATAAATCTGGGTGTCGTCTGCATAGATGTGATAGCTTAGATCGCTCTTTTTAATAATTTCAGCCAGAGGTAGCATATAAATATTAAAAAGAAAAGGTCCTAAGATGGAGCCTTGAGGAACCCCGCATGACATATTTGTCAAAGTTGATGTGTAGTTGCCTATTGAGACAACGTTTTTTCTGTCCTTTAAGTAGGTACTAAACCAATTTAGAGCTGTTCCTGTTCCATCATTTACACTGATAACTAACATATGATTAATGGTCAACACACTGAACAGGGTTGGGGTCAACACTTTGAATTCAACAGAATACATGCACTGCTATGACCGACCGACCGGGTCACCACTTTATTTGAAGGGGCACAATCATGATGAAGTAATGACAAAGTCATGCTTAGTTAATCATGATTACAACACTTGGAATTGCTGTGACGGGTCAGTTTTTTGGCCTGACACTTTAATTGCAGATCTATATGAAGAAGACATGAACATCAATAATAACTCAGAAGTCATGATGATTGAGATACCTTAGTTGATGCATTAATTAAGGTATTGTTCCTGCATTAAGTCATGCATGAGATTCCATTAATACCTGTACATTACTGATAGTTCATGAGTACTACATGAATTAATTCATGCTTTTTCATGCATTAAGTCATGCATGAATTCATGATGATTCATGTACCCTTACCGTAAAGTGTTCCCACATTTCCTCTGTATTTTCAGTTAAAATCAAACAAGACTAAAACACTGAAAAGTACAATGTTCTTGGACTTCATGAAGTTTAGGTTTGATGAGCATACATGATTTCTGCCACTTTGGTGTTTTATACAAATCAATTTACCAGATTACATCACTATTAATAGTCATATGAAACAAGCTATGCAAGAAAACGTTTTTCAAAAAGTTCAGTAATATACTGATTGAAGCCATCAAATGCTGAGATGTAACATGTTAAATTGGTTTCTTGGGATACAGCTAGCTAAATGTATAATAGTAAACAATAGACATTAAACATTATTTGTAAGAGAACATCAAGTCTTCTCTAAAAGTAAACACTGTATTTATGTTTGACGAACCCAAGTCAGCCTCATCTGGAGACACACTCTTCATCAATCATGGAAGAGGGTCATTGTTGGTCATCAGCTGTTGCCATGCCAGTGCAGAGCTCTGAGAAGCCCTTGGTCCCTGCTTTGATGGTGAGCTGTGTGTCAGACATCCCTGTACTTTAGGAATCTTTGTTTAGGTTTAGAAGTCTGTGCCTGTTTGTATGGGTTTCTCTGTTTATCAATGCTAAACTACATGATATCATGTATCTATATTAAGTGGTAGGAGGCTTTTGTCTGTTTGTGTGCATGTCTTGCAAATCTATTTATGTATTAAAGTCTATATCTCCTCATTATTTTCCTCATTCATACCTGTTAGAAGCCTACAGTATGACTGTACACATCTCCCTGCTCACAAACTTGAAAGTAAAAGTAAATACCATCAGAATATCAACTTTGTATCCCTTTTAACCCCCATGCAGTCTTAAAGAATCCCTCTTTAAAACGTATTTTACTCTGTACCTCCCTGCGTCTATTCTTACCTTACAACCTTCTGACCTATCCTCCTCCCAACTTCCCTAGACAGTTCTTGTCCATACTCACTTCTGTATTTCCTGAAGTACCTTTCTCTTTCATCCATTCATCTCTTACCTTCCGTCTTCTTTCTCTCTTTAACTCCCTTCCCTTTCATTTACTCGCCTGCAATGATCATCCCCTAGTCTAGGGACATTACTCTTGCTTCCCTCACACTCCCCTCGGTCTCTAGCATTCCTCTCTTTCTTTACTGCATTTAACCTTGAATCAAGCCATTCCTAACTTATTGATGTTGTTGACGTTGCTGGCGGTATACCAACTTTAATTCACCAAGCAGAGAAAAGGCAAAAGGTCTGTTAATTAATGAACCTGTCACGCATTTAGATAAATGATCCAAGCTTGGAACTTTGTAAACACACATAAATAATCTAATTTCTAATGTTCTGTACTATGCACACATGGTTTTTTGATAATTGCGGGGAAATTCTGCTCCATAAGTACCTTGGTTTTGGGGATTTTGGTCTTGACATACTGTAACAGTTAAAAAACTCAAATACTGGAATCATTTCAACAGAAAAAGCTAAACGAAATATCACAGATGTCGCAGGCAAATGGTAGCTGATATATCACATTAATCATTTGCTATAATTTAGTATTGTCTATGACAGAGTGGGGTCACACATGCGTAACAATAAATAATATTGCATAGTCCACAGTCCATGATCTACATATCCAACTTCAGTTACACAATGTTGGCATAGTATTTGACACAAATTGTAGTAATTTATGAAAATTGCTAACCGAGCGCAGGTCGCATGTCCTAACACACGTTCTGTACGAGACAGACGAATACAAGCACCTTTCAACCCCAAGTATAAACCAATTCTGACTGTGCTGTTACATGTCAAAACCACAAATACCAGGCTTTTATTTCCATTGAGGCAGTTGCCGGTCACAGAAGAGGTATTGAACACCCCCTACCAACAACCATCAGCACCTTCTGCCCTCTTTGTTTGCTGGGAGAGAAAGGGGAAGAATCAAAGTAACGGAGAACACCATCATCACTCCACAGGAGGGAGGGAGGGTAATGATGGAGAAAGACAGAAGATGGAGGTGAAGATGAAAGGGAGAAAATTAAAGCAAGTGAGAGTTTTGAGATGGAAGAAATGGAAAAAGAGGAGAGTGCGAGTAAAAGCCGAGATGTGAAGGCAGGCTTTTACCCGAAGGGGAGCGACGGCTATCAAAATGTGTGAGTGTGCAAGCGAGCATGTGTGAGTGGTGTATAACATGCCATTTACAAGATCTGATGTACAGCAAATGGAAAGCCAAATACTGTGCAACACACACACACACACACACACACACACACACACACACACACACACACACACACACACACACACACACACACACACACACACACACACACACACATTAAAGTGTGTTATTTGTTTCTATACAGTTGGTGTCACACAGAGTTGTTCATTTACTGTAATTCTATTATAATGTAGCATCTGTCTGGTTGCAGAACATGTCTATTACTTAAAGGGTTATGTGTCTGTTGCTCTTCACCATGGTGGCTTCACACTGCATATGTTGTTCTATCCAATAAATACATTTGGCTATATGAGTTTCTTTAGTCTCTAAGGAGTGTTTGGATGGTGTAAATCTTGTTTCAGAGAATTCATTAGTATTGAATAGAGTGGGTAAGGTAAATGGCCCACAGTCTGGATGTTGTTTTAGATCCAGCAAAGAAAATAATAAATCAATTTACAGTAGTAGATTTCAAAATGCTCATTTTCATGCTTTGTTCCCTAAAAAACAAATGTTTTCTTTTTGATGTTCGGAGGACTATTTTAGTTTTCAGCCGCAGCCTCATGTCTGTCCCATTCAAACATCAGTCACTAAAAACGCTCATAATTTGGCCATTGTTGTAATGATACAGCACATAGAGATTCGGGGTAATTGTGTGTAGGTATTTCCCCATCTTTGGAAGGCAAGCATGAGCTAAACCGGTTTCAAAGGAAACACCAGATTCAGTGTACCAATGTTTGAAACGAGCTTAAAAGGCAGCTTCTCTGGAGACAGTTGAGAACACATTTTTGGCCGTTCATAATATGAGGGATGCCTGGTGGTTATCTCTGAGTTAGGACAATTTCAGCAGGTGGCTGGCCAGAGCCCACTCCAGCCCCCCTATTATTGGCAGTGTTTGAGTGTGTGTAGGTGTGGCATGTGTGTGCCTTGTAAAGGATCCAGGGGATTATGGACGTGCTACTGTATATTGGGTTCATCTCTCCCTTGTCTCCACGACAACACCCAATGCACCTGCCACCAAGATTTACCAGCTGCTACAAACACACATCTGCTATAATGAGATGCAAACGGAAACACAAGTTCTGCCAACCGCAGCCCCTTGTGGACAGAAGCAGCCATTTCAAATGACCAAAGTGTAGTTTCCCCAGACAGCAAAAACCTAGACCAGCTGTCTCTGCAAGACAGTAAGCTATTCTGCCTGACAACCTGCCTTACTTCGATATGCATTTTAATGCACTTGTAGGGGCACTCTTTGGGTTAATACAGTCACAACACTTGGTAGTGCAGGCACTCTTAGGATGTTCTCAAATAAGTGTTCTATTGTTATAATATTATGTATTAATTAATGACTTAAGCATACACTGCATGAACACAGTTTTTTTCTTTTAAAGCTTTTATTTTTCTTCCAAGCGTAAACAAAAAAAGTAAAGCTCTGGCCTGGCCCATTATCGGCTGTGATATTCAACATTTTCTCACTATAAGAATGATAGAATGATTGATTCAAATAAATACATTCAAAACATATTGGCTCTGATTCAGCAGCTTCTACATGTCTGTATAGTCTCCGTAGTCTTGCTCACACTGTCCCACTGACCGCAATATTTGGTCATCCCCCACAAGTGATAGCTTATCAACAGTAACAAAATATGTCGTGCCTCTGCAGGCAAAGACTAACACAGAATGGAGTTGGTACAGTGAATGAGAGAGCTATGTGTCAAAGCAGGAGATATTGCTGAGGTTGCAATAAACATCGCAAACCTTTAGGCAGAAGTTATATAAGAAAACTGCTGGTAACATTTTCCCATGTTTTGAAAAACACAAGGGGAAATAGTAGTGACCGGATTTAAAAACTGTAAGAAGTGGGGGAAGAGAAGTCATATGAAATGTGGGCTGAAATCATCAAATCACATGACCAGCACCCAGTGCACTGTATAGCCTAACATTGACCACAGTCAGCTGTACTGAGCCAGCTGTTCACCTTCGACCTTCAGGACGCTCCTCTCTCCCTACAGTCACTCCCGGAGCACTTTGATCATGTGCCAACCTGACATTTGCCAAAGCTGCCAAGCATACCGCCGGAGGCCCACCATCACCGCCTGCCATGCGTGATGCAGAGATGCAAGCCTCTGACGGGTGTCCTGTTACCAGGGTGAATTCATGAGGACAGCTTGGAGGCTTCAGTGGAGCTCTGGTCCATTAATAAAGTCCCAAGGTGGGGCTGCATCAGGGCCATCAGGATGATATAATCAGTACCTTGCTGTCATGGTCCTTGACATTCAGCAAATAAACAAACAACAAGAAAAACCTGCACAACAAGATGCATGTGATAGTCGCCATAACTGTCTCTTTCTGACAGGATCCCCATTGGGACAGAGTTGAAGAGAGAAGGGGAGGCAGAGAAGAGAACATTGGGGATAAGATGACATTATGATAAAGGTGACGAGGCAGACAGATAGACAGCTGCTGGTCTCTCATCAAAGAGACGAGACCAAGTTTCAACAGTAAAGAAAGACAAGTTACTATTAACCTTCAGGAAAGCAACATACTCTTTCTTAACTTGAAATCTTTGCAATATTACCTCAAACTCAGCTGACTGGCTTGAACCACATGGCATATGTTGCCTAGCAACCATAGCTTATTTAAGACAGAGTCAGTTGCTTCAGCACCACAACAGTTTTAGAAGGGAGCTTTGGAAACTGTGCTTAATCAGGAACAACAAATAATAAATGTATTAACAACTAAGGAAACTAAGACGACCACACTGGGAGCTCCAGGGCTCTGGGCCAATACTACAAGCTGTTCAAATGTTTATCAAAACTCCAATTGCTGTCTATTTAATTTGAACTGGCTATATTTATTATTCTGTGGTTAATGTTGGACAAAAAATCTGTGCGCAGAGAAACATATTTATTTTAGTTTTATTCAAATCAAGTTTTATTTAGATAGCACATTTTTAAAAACGATTTTTGGTCGAGCCAAAGTGCTGTACATACAATAAAAACACTTTACAATAAAAACACTTTACAACAAATACAACAGCAAAAAAAAAAAAAATCACACACAGGTAGGGGTGTAACGGTTCACAGAAGCCACAGTTCGGTTCATACCTCGGTTTGGGGGTCACGGTTCGGTACGGGTTCGGTACAACAAGGAAAAGCAAAAAAAAGTCCCAAATGCATAATTTTTTTTGCTGTTATTTATTTTTAACAGTAGTGCAAGTTTTGGTATGAAAATAAGTAACTCTAACATTTGGAATCATTAACTGTATTACACAGTTAAAAACAAACCACAAACAGTAACACACACACTCAGATGGCCATATTATTGATAATGGCTGATGTCAAACTAAAAGGTTAAATAAGCTGTACAATTAAAAAGAATGTCTTGAAAATATTAAAATAAATAATAATAAAGTGTTTCAATCCCAATCAATAAAAGGCAATACAGAACTGTATAACATCTCCTGATGTCAAAATATAAAATAAATACAATGATAAATATAAAAAAAAATAAAATCTGTACCTTTAGGAGCAATGTCTAACATGTGTAATTAACTTGTGAGTGTGTGAGGCCATTATGCCTAAATAAAGGTACTCAAGCTTTACTCTATTTTCAAGTTTTTCTTCAAAAAGATGAGTTTGTCTACGTTGTCAGTAGTGAGGGCAGATCTGTTGGCGGTAACTATGTCACCTGCCGTCGAGAAAACCCTCTCGCTGGGGACTGAGACTGACTCGGATGTGATTGAGCATGTTTGACGTGTTACCACTAGCATGTCGCTGTCGAACAACGCCGACACACTGTCCTCGTCCGATCCACAACTCGCACCCCATCATTGTTGTAGTC